GCCTCCCCCTGCCCGGATCGGGCCTGGCCGCGCCCTGGCCCGGGTTGGGGAGAGGGAGGGCAAGGCCTGCTAGGTGGCGCTCCTGGGCTCGGCGCCCACACAACACCCCGAGGCCGCCTGGGCTAGGGGCTCAGCTTTCCCGCTCGTGCCAGTCTGTCTGGCCTCACCACCCCCACCCCACACCGAAGAAATCTTCCCCTGGTATTTCGGGCGCACTATTTGAGGTGCTGACAACGCGGGTGTGTATTAGATACTGCCCCGAGATACCCTGTTGGAGGAGCCGCTGCCTCCCCAGGAGCTAGAGGCCTCCAAGTGTTGGTAAAGGGCACCGTGGGCCGGGAGGGGCCGGAGTGAAGCTGGAGAAACTCAAGTTTGACATCTCGGGCCTCACGCTTCCTATTGGCTTTCCCAGGCCTGCATTCCTGAAGCCAGAGGCCTAAATTTGCACCAAAGTGACCACTAAAACCGTCATCTTTCATCATTGTTGTCATTGACAATCTAATTTGTGCTTCCACTTGCATGAGTGTGATTTGAGACTTATTTATTTATTTATTTATTTATTTGAGATACGAGATCTTGCTATGTTTTCCAGCCTGGTCTTGAGCTCCTGTGCTCAAGTGATCCTCCCATCACAGCTTCCCAAGTAGAGACTACAGGCATTGACCACCAGTCTACTTGAGACAAACCTTTAAAAACCTGGCTATAATCTCAAGGGACCCCCTTTGCTTTCTCCTAATTATACTGGCAGTTTCCACTCATCTACTGAGCTTCCCTCCACAACAGTCTTGTTTTTGACTATTAGACTTAACCCATCATCTGTCCACTTCTGATTCCCCTTTTCCACCAAAAGAAATATTCTACTTCTTTTTTAAAAAAAAAAAAAAAAAACTTTGCTTGACACCCCATATGCATAAAACCTTGCCAGGCTAACCCCACATTGCCAACTCTGCCCACCTTCCAAAAGAGGAAACTGGCTCAGGCAGAAGACTTGATACTGATGTCTACCAGTGAGTGATCAAACTGTAAAAACAGTGGAGGCAGCCTGGTGAGGGAGCAAACATGGGTCTGTAAAAACAGACAGCTGTCCAAATCCTGGCTCTGCCTCTTACAGTAACAGGCTGTGACTGCACTGGGCCTCAGTCTCCTCACCTCTGAAATGGGGCATAATAATAGAACACCTGCAGGGTTGATGGGCTGACCAAGATGATGAACGCAACAGCACAATACTTGATGCCAAGTGAGTACTCCAAAAAATCCTTCTGCCCTTTACAGGAAGATAAACAAATCTGAAATGATAGAATGATGGAGTCTTAAGAAGTGAAAGGATCCTTAGAAGATTCTCCAAGAGCAATTACCCAGACATGGAAGATTCAGTACCTGCAGGGTAAACCTGAGGAAAAAAGAGCTATAAAGGACAAGAGATTGTTCAGAATAAAGAGGCCAAGGTGACTTATAGTCTATGAGGCAGACATATGCTATTCAAATCCACTGTGGACAAAACTCAAATAAACCTGCCAATGAAACAAGACACTTTTAGAGAAAGAATTCCCAAAAGCACAAGATCACAATTTACTGGGTCAGGCTTCTGAAAAATGTTGCTGAGTTTCCATTTTTCAGATCCTAAAAAAATTCTGAGGGATAACCATAGATTAGATTAGATATGGGTAAGGTGACTATATCCAGGTTCTTGAGCCACAACCCATTTACTCCTCTTGTCCTGGTATAGTTATTAACAGTGCCCTTTTCACTTTCAGAATATACTGGTTTGGACAATAAATTATATGCCACTTTAACTATGACCACAGGCAAAACTCCAAAGGGCTCCTTCCAGCCTTGAATGCCAGAAACTCTGCTGGCATTTCTGGATCCCCAAGGATTTTGAAAGATAGTGTGTCAGTTTATCCCCTTGAAATCACCAAATCAAATCAAAAATGATAAAAAGCAAAAAGTAAATTTTCAGCCAGCACCCTGTGAAGCTTCGGTGACAGTGGCTGCTGAATGGTGACACCTAGTGAGAAGAATTGGAACTGCAGAAGCCTGGGTTTCAGGGAATGCTTCACTTTCCGCCACAGATTTCCAGTTGACGTGCAAACCAGAGAGCAACAGCTAACATCTACCAAGTACTTATGTGCCAGGCATGGTCCTAAGCATGTCATGCTTTAATTCGTTGATCCTCACACTCCACCAGGTAGGTACAGTCTTCATTCATTATACAGATGAGGAGATTGAGGCTCAGGACGAGGTAATTTTTCTTAGGTTATTTAGGCACTAGATAGCTAAGCTATTATTCCAGAGTGTTTGGCCTGCACACATAACTGCTACTCTATTCCATGTTTAGTGATGTGCAAAGTTACATTAGTGGTATCTTCCACCAAGAGTGACTTAGGAAAGAGGCAAAGGTAGGTAGAGAAGCAGAATGTAACAGGAGTTCTATTCCCATGTCTACCAGTAAAGAAGGAACAGTTTCTGCATCTATAAAAACATGACATTAAAACAGACAAGAAAACATATAAACCATCCATTAAATGTACAGTGAATCTGCTCTGTGTGTGGGTGTTGCAGGGGATGGACCCCAGGCCTCATATATGCTAAGCAAGTGCTCTACTAAGTTACACCCCCAGCCCAGTGTTACTATTTTTAGCTTCTAAACCTAGTAACTCTACCTTGTTATTGACTTGCTATAAAGTATGGACTAAATCAAAGGCAGGCAAACTTTGTCAGTAAAAGGACACATATTAGCCAGGTATAGTAGCACATGCCTATAATACAGCTACTTGGAAGACTGAGACAGGAGGATGGCAAAATTGAGGCCAGCCTGAGCAACGTAGCATGACCCTATCTCAAAATAAAACTTAAAAGCCTGGAAATGTAGTTCTGAGGTAGTATGTCCCTGGTTTCAATCCTTAGCACCACAAAAATAAATAAATAAAAATAAAAAATAAGATCAAATAATGAATATTTCAGACTTCATAGCTATACACTCTCTGACTCAACTACTCAACTCTGCCATGGGAGCACAAAGGCAGCCATAGCAATACAAATATGAATAAGCATGACTGTGTTCCAATAAAACTTTATTTACAAAAAAAAAAACAATCAGATCACAATTTGCCAAGCCCTGAACTGAGAGGAGTATCTTTTCAAGTTGGAGCCTGCAAACTCCTGGCTATCTTCAGATGTGTTGTTGGGGTGAGGTGGCCTGGGTCCAATTTTGCAAGTGTAAAACATAAAGAAAGACTGATCAAAAGCATTGAGCATAATGAATACCAGCAATTCTATGAGTGGGTGTATGCAGGTGCACATGTGTGTGACCCAAGATGAGCTGGTGCCTTCAGAAAGCAAACACCTCTAAAGTGGGGCTTGAAGCTTCCTAGGTTTTGCAAGGTCTTGGTCAGAACTGTCTGAAGAAATGCAGATTCAATGTCTGGGATTGCTGGTGATCAGCATGTATTCTGTAAAGACAGAGATGCACATTGTGAAATCAAACAGAAAATACAGAGGCCAAGGAAAGCAGAACACCCCTGAAGAAAGCCTTCAGCTAAGGCAAAGCCATTGACATTCCTCCACCTATGCAAAAACACATGGTAACTATTTGAGTATCTGTGTGTGTGTGCACGCACATGCGTGGACACATACCCGCTATCTGAACATGTGGGTAGCAACTGAGGAATTTGCATGGTTGGTTGGAATCAATAAATGTAACCGTAATAACCAAATCAGCTATATGGGTATCAACTTTCTTATTGATCTAAGAATATTCCTATATACTTATCAAGGGCAATTCCATGGTTTACATCACACTGTAGATTCTGCCCTGTGAATCAAAACCACGTATTAAATGACTGACCAGTTAAAAAAAGCAGGAAACTCAAACTTGAACTTGCCACAGCACAGAACTTGCCTCTGGACCACAGGAGTTGTGGGGGAGCATCTTGGGACAAAGAATCCCATAGGCAATTGAGTATTCCAGGCTAAGGATTTATATATATATATCCTAAAACAAGAAATCAGTGAAGTATTTCAAGTACAAAAGTGACATGATCAGATTCACATTCTGAACCTATGGCTCTGGCTATAGTGTAGAGAACAAATCTGAGGAGTCAGGGGTTAAAAATTAAATATAGGAGACTTTAGCAGTAAACTAGGCATGAGATGACATCAGATTGACCATGGTGAAGAAGGAGCCTTCTGAACAGACCTGAGAGATTTTAAAGGTGAAATTTACATATATCAGCAATATATATGTAAAAGAAGACTAGGGAAAAGAGATGTCAAGAATGACTAAGGTTTCTGGTCAGAATAAGAAGACAGCTGGTGGGGTCATTCTCTGAGATAGGAAACAGTGACAGAGGACTAGATTTTAAGAGGACAATGGTGAGTTCAAGGAACATGAGAGCTAATAAGTGTCTGCCTGATACAGTAAATTGAAGGTCAGTAAGGATTTTGGCAAGAATCGTTTCTTTGATATGATGAGGCAGAAGTGATCCTGGAAAGAGTTGGAAAAGTTACTCCACCTGAGAAATGGAGATGATGAGACAATTCTTTGAAGAAAATTGGCTAAGCCCTGCATGATGGCACAGGCCTATAATCCCAGATACCTGGGAGGCTGAGGCTGAGCAACATAGTGAGAACGTCTCAAAAAAGAAAGGAAGGGGGTTGGGGCTGTAGCTCAGTGACAGAGTGCTTTCCTAGCACGTTTGGAGGCGCTGGGTTCGATCCTCAGCACCACATCAAAATAAAATAAATAAAATAAAGACATTCTGTCCATCTACAACTACAAAAAAAAAAAACCAAGTTTAAAAAAAAAGTAAGGGAGGGGAATAAAATTGGCCATAGGTGGAAAGCACATACAATAGATAACTAAAGGAGAGTGTAGAACAAGAGACGGTTCAGGGAATTTAAATGGAGAAAATTGAGCCTGTTAAAACCTTATGAGGTTGCTGGGGTTGTGGCTCACTGGTACAGTGCTTGCTTGTCATGTGTGAGACACTGGGTTCGATTCTCAGCACCACATATAAAAAAAAAAATAAACAAAGATCCGTAGACAACTAAAATAAATTTTAAAGAAAAAAAATAAAAACCTTATGGGACCTGGTACCATGGGGCATCCCTGTAATCTCAGCAGCTCAGGAGGCTGAGGCAAGAGGATCACCAGTTCGAGGCCAGACTCAGCAACTTAGTGAGATTGTGTCTCAAAATAAATTTTTAAAAGGGCTGAGGTTGTAGCTCAGTAGTAAAGTGACCCTGGGTTCAATCCCCAGTACCCGCTCCCCCGACCCACATACACACTATCAACATTTATTAATAAATAAATAAAGCCTCATAAGAAGAAGTTCAATTCTAGTATGGAAGAATCAGTTACTAGCCAATCAACTCTCCCACAGAAAATGTCTACAAACTCTGGGCAAAACACAAAAGTAACAAACAAGAAACCCACCTCAGGACCCTGGAGAGTGAGCCCAGCAAGGCAAATTTGGGGCAGGATTCATAGTGTGAAAGAAGCACCTGGAGGAAGGTGGGTTCACATCTTTGTGGATTTTCCCTGTGTTGGCTGGAGTCCTGGAACACAATAGCTGGAATTCCAGCAGAAAGCTACTGTTTAGGACCAGAGGGTGGAGCCCAGACCAACCAAGGTTACCAAAGAATGAGAGATAAATCCTGGAAAGGAAAAAGCCAGCAAAGAGGAACCCAGCATTCTCTGCCTGCGTCTCTGACAGATGCCTGTCCCACACGTGTGCAGGGAAAACCAGAGGCAGCCCAAAACTGAGGCCCACTACAGGTAATACCGGGTCTGCAGTTTGAATTTAACCAAGTTAATTGCTGCGAAAAGAAAAAAATACAACACTTTTGGAGGAATAAAATAAAATCCAGAGCCAGGCAAGGTGGTGCAAAACTGTAATTCCAGCAACTAGGAAGCTGAGGCAGGACGATCTCAAGTTCAGGCCAGCCTCAGTATCTTAGCGAGATCCTTGGCAACTTAGGCCTGGCTCAAAAGCAAAAATAAAAAGGACTGGATTGTGGTTCTGTGGTAAAAAGCCCCTCGGTTCAATCCCTGATAGTAAATAAATAAATAAAATCTAGAGTCTTCTCACCAAACCTCCAAATAGTCAATATGTGATCCCAAATTTCTTAGCATGCAAAGAACCAGAAAAATGTGACCATTCTCAAGGGAAAGACAAACAATAAAGGCCAATTCCAAGACACTTCAAATGTTGGAAATAACTGACAAGGATTTACAAGAAGCTATTATAGCTCCAGGATAGACAGAAAAATACATCTGTAAAGAATGAACAGATAGGAAACCACAGAGGAAAAACAGGGGAAGAAAGAGAGAGAGAGAAATGGAAAATTTAGAATTAAAATAACTAGAATAAAAAATTTAAGAGCTGGGGTTGTGGGTCAGTGATAACAGCAGTCACCTAGCACATGTGAGGCACTGTGAAGCACTGGGTTCAATCCTCAGCTCTACATAAAAATGAAATTCAGAAATTGTGTGCCGCCTACAATTAAAAAATAAATATTTTTTTAAATTTACTGGATGAACTTAATGGCCATTCACTGAAGATTTAGTGTAAAGAGTAAATGAACTTGAAGAGAGATGAGCAGACATCCCTCAATTTGAAAGAGAGAGAAGATTAGAAGGAAAAAGGGAGAAAAGTGCCTGAGGACCTTTAGGACAATATCAAAATGTCTAGTGCATGAGTAATTGGAGTTCGGGAAAGAATAGAAAGAGGAAACAAGACAGAGAAAAAAAGAAATATATATATTCAAAAGCTTAGGGGGAAGAGCCATTCAGGAGGGAGAGTTGATATATGGAAAGGTAAGAGATCACAAATAGCAAAATTTTCTATGGAGGGTGGGAAGGAATGGAATTCAGTGTGAGCTTAGATATTTGGCTAAGGCTAAAAACAGAGACCACCTGCATTGATTGCAACAGGAAGGGAAAGAAGAAAAACACTGGAGCAAACATAGGAGAACTGATATGTCCAAGGTGGAAATTTTCATTTGATGGCTTCTATTTTCCTTATAAAAAAGAGAGAATGAGAGACAAGGTCACCTGCTACAGGTAGGGATGTGAAGGAAGGGCCAGAGATTTGAGGAAATTGTCAGAGATTCGAGACTGACTCAGGGAGACGGAGTTAATTGTAGACACTTAACAGGGCTTCCTAGACATACCGAGGGCCCATCTAAACCTAGTCTCTGAATGTTATGTGGAACCAATATTCTCCATTGTGCGACTTTCCCAGGCTGCCTCGGTGCAGAGTGACAGTGGATGGCTGGGGCCAGCTGCAGTTGGGATTTGTTGGATGGTATAACACAATGGCAAAAGGTCAAGGTTAGGGTATTACCAAGACTGTTATAGACATAGAATCTAAGCTCAACAAGAAGAGAAGGAAGTAAACAAGAGAATCGATGGTGTGGAGACCCCCAAACCAGAGGTGCTGATGCAGGGGGCTGGGGGCAGGGACTGTTGCAATAACAGCAGTGGAACAAACCAACTGCGGGGAAAGGAGGTGGCAGTCAGAGAAGGGAGGGGTTTGACTTGATGGTTTGGGAGCAGAAGAATTTCCAATAATGTTAAAGACCAAACTGTGACTGTGGAAGTGGACGGTTTCCAGACAGTAGACATGGTGTTTGGGGAGTTCAGTTGGACTGTTGGAAAGTTCTCCCAATCCAGCGCTGAATTTGCCTAGATCCACAGCTGTGCACAGATATAGAAAAGGATGAGACACAGCTACAGAAATGTTTGAAAAGAAGTTGGGGTTGTGGCTCAGTGGTAGAGCATTCACTTAACATGCATGAGGCACTGGGTTCGATCCTCAGCACCACATAAAAACAATTGTGGTATAAAGGTGTATTAAGAATTGTAATGCAAAAAAATAATAATAATAAGAGAGCTCATGTATAATGGCATAATTTGGTGTGAACATACTTTATATACAGAGTTACGAAAAATTGTGCTGTGAATGGATAATTAGGATTGTAATGAATTCCACTGTTGTCATGTATGTAAGAAATAAAAAAAAAATAAAGATACTGTATCCACCTAAAACAAAAAATAAATAAATATTTTTTTAAAAAGAAGAAGAAATGTTTGAAGAGCAAAACTCCAGGACTTCAGTCCTAACAGAGGCTCTTGGGAAGGGGAGAGGGTGTCATGGCCACATGATAGACACTGGGACAAATGGTCGTCTGAGGGCAATGGGAAGTAAGGAGGACAATGACTCTACCTGCCATTTTTAAGCTATGACATGGAGGAAAACCACACTCCCATGGGAGAGCTTGAAAGAATATAGTGTCTGTAGGTTTATTGCTTACCTATTGTCACATAACAAATTCACAACTCAAAACCATACTTATTTAATGTCTCATAGTCTCTGTGAGTCAGTGCCATCCTGGCCTACCTGGGACATCTGCTCAGGCTCTTACAAAGTTGTAGTCAAGGTACTGA